CTCCAGAATAATCTCAGTTAAAGAGAACCAGAGAAGTGGTCTGGCCACACCATATTGTGGCACAAGACAAGAAAATTCAAACAGCTTTAGGGTGGGACAGTGAAATTACACTGCCAACCCTCTCAAGTGACGTCAAACAACTGGTAGTCTAGATGGAGGGGGCTAGAAAGGAAGGCATGGTTAAGTTCATGGCAGCATGACACTGGACTGGACATGCTGCCATTTACTCAATAATAAAGACCACATCAAGGACCAAGTGAATACAGGTGAAACTATCTTATTCAGGTATCTCTAGTCCTCAGTAAAACTCCAGAAGCCATGATTTGTTCTGAGGGGATGTACTGGAGATTTGAAGGGTGACATGTACTAGCAATGAACAATTGGAGAGCAAAAATATGTTTTTAAAGATTTTAAAAGGATATTTATAATAGCTCCAGTAAATGACATACTTATGTTTAAATCTAACAAAATATGTGCAAGACCTGAACCCTGAAAGCTGCGAAACACTGATGAAAGGAATCAAAGATGATCTAAGTAAATTGAGATATATACCATGTTCACAGATTGAAAGGCTCAATATTGTTAAGATGTAAATTCTCCCCAAAAGGACATTGGATGTTCCTTCCCTCCATTTTTCAAAGTATTGGACCAGAGTTAGAAGGAGGAATCCCCAGGCCAGTAACTTTTACTTGGCAAATAGTGAAGCTCTGCACATCACATTTTCTATGCCAGCACTAACATGGACCCAATCCAACAAACAATTCCAGCATATCTGTCTTACATCTGGCTGCCACTATCCACAGTTTATTGTAATATCCAACAGGACCTGTATAATGAGTTAAGCACTTGTAATTACAACTAAACTCTACTCCAAAATAATAAATTAATATTGAATTTTCTGTCTCTGCTGAGGTAATCATATGGTTTTTATCCTTTACGATAAATTACACAGATTTTTCAGATATCGAAATGTCCTTGGATTCCTGGGAAATTCCCTCTTTTGTTCATGATGTATTATTTTATATACTATTATATCAATTTCCCAATATTTTGTTAGTGATTTTTTCGTCTATGTTCATAAGCGAAATTAGGCTATACATTTTCCATACTGTCCTCGATCAGGTTTAGCTTTGCGATTTTACCAACTTTATGTAATGGACTGGGCGGCTTTCTCTCTTTTCTATTCTCTGAAAATTTCTATAAGGAATTATCAGTTTCTTGATATTTTGATCAAATTCACGTTTAAAACCTTGTCTTTTGGTGAGGTGCAGTTGTGATTACTAATTCCTTAGTGTTTATTGATTTAAAATTGTCAAAATCTCTGTAATATCTGTTTTCCTAGAAACATCAATTTCTTTCTTCCACACTTTCAAAATTTTTGTCATAATCAGTATTATGTTTATTTTTGAAATCTATTTGTAGTTATGTGTTTTTATCTAAATACTGTTCATTGGGGCTTTTTTTCCCCCTGATTAGTCCTTGCTAGAGATTTTTCTGGAAGTATCCCTTTGAAGCAGCTTACAAAGCCTCCCTCAAGGGCTGGCCACCAGCTGTTTGCTGCCACAGCTGTGGCTTCACCTACACTGACAGTGTTGCTTATGTACTACTTTATACTTTAAAATAAACCCATAGCTTTAGTAGTGCTGTTTTGCTAATCCTCTAAGTTCTTATTTTTTTCTGTATGTTATCCTTTTGGTAGGTTTCTTGTGTTGGTTACTATCCATAGCTTTCTCTATTGTACTGCTTGTGTGTGAGGTATCATTTTGAGAAAGTACATAGTTATTAAATTCATTATGCATTTACTGAGCATACAGTTACAAGTACCTACTGTATACTGGGCATTGTGGGAAATACTGAGAGTAAAGAATGAAATAGTTCCCCAGGTGCGTACTGACGCACCGCTTGTCCAGCCACGCTGAGGCCGCATCCCACATACAGCAACTAGAAGGATGTGCAACTATGACATACAACTATCTACTGGGGCTTTGGGGAAAAAAAAAGGAGGAGGATTGGCAATAGATGTTAGCTCAGAGCCGGTCTTCCTCAGCAAAAAGAGGAGGATTATCATGGATGTTAGCTCAGGGCTGATCTTCCTCACAAAAAAAAAAAAAAAGTTCATGTTAAACCAGATGATGTTTTATACTGTAATGTAGTGAAATAAATGATATTGTTTCTCTGTCCCATTCTATTTCAGTCATGTAATCCGATAGGCTTCATTTTTGAGTAAGTTTTGGACAAATAATGAGATATTTTCATACAGTACTCTAATGTATAACTGTTACTTTTTGAATCCCATAATGGAAGACATTTAAGTATAAAAACATGGCCAGAACACTGGCTTTTTATATTTGAGTTAAACTTTAAAATGTTCTGGCCTTATAAACTGTTTCCTAAAGGAATTTTTCACCATTTTTAATTTATTACAGACAGATGTCAACATTCCAATTCAAAAGTACAAAATTTCTGACAATATTCTATGTGACAACTGCAGGAAGTGCACTTGTAGACTTTCAGAAAATAACTCCTGATTGAATACAACACTCAAATGGAAGTTTCTCTGGTTTATCTTACTGGAATGAAAATTGTATATTCTTGCTCAAAAATCTCTAATTTAACAAGGTAAAAGATAGCTATCACTATTTACCCAATGTAAATAACAGCTTTTCCAAGACAAGAAAAAAAGACTCTCAAGTTTTGCAGCAAAAACTAGCAATCTTGCACCAGAACGAAGGGACCTAGGAACACATTCCAAACTCCACTAAAACACAACCTCAGTTCTGAAGAACTTGAACATTGGTCCCAGTGAGGAAAGAGTGTTAATAATAGTAATAATGATAACAATATACACCTATATTGTGTTTACTATGTGACAAGCACTGTTCTAATATATAAACACAGATTCAATTTTATGTTGTAAATTAAAAAGAAAAGCCTGGCAATCTTGTCTTTTGCTGTTAAAAGCCTATAGTTAGCGATTGCTAAAGAAATGTGAAGACTCTAGAAAAAAAAAAAAAAAGTGGGCACTATGTTTAATTCTTTCCAAACATGTAAATAGAACAAAAGGTACAGTAGTTTAAGAATGCCAGAACTAAACAAACCAGTGGTGTGTTCTTTTTTGACACACACAAAATCCTTCATACTGCATTAATTATAGTCTTTTTTCAAGTGCTTTGGGCTTGACTGTAAGAAAACTAATTACTGGGGCCAGAAGTTAAATCATATATGATGAAAAGTTCCTCCAGGAAAAGCCATGTTTGCAAACTAGCTACCCAAGTAGGTTACGCAAGTGTTAAAACTTCACAGTTATGGCATAGCAATAGAAGACATAAACTGCAACCAGCTGACTAGTTTTTGGCTTCCTCTATGATAGCCATTCACAAGGCCACAAAGGGACCATAACACTAGTAGTTTGTTTCCCCACTTCTTTACCTATAGAGTTCTGTTATGGAATTGTTGGCTTTAACAATGAAGGGAAGTTATGGTCATATCCCATCAATCAGGAAAAGGATAGGAATCTATCTTTGACTAGAGGAGTTGAGTTCTGGTTTTCAACTGGTACAAGCAGAGGGTCATGCTGGTTAAATTAATACCTTTCCTACAATTACTTATATTGTGAAAAGTTATTCAAAGAGCACATTAATATAACCTTTCAAAACTCACAGAACAGGTCTTCATTGATGCAATAAGTCAGTCACCTGTGGATATTTGGATAAAGAAAATCTAGGATAACCCAAACCATACAAACTCTACCTCTTGCTTTCTCCATTAGAATACGCACATTAGAAATCTAAGTTTTAAAGATCAATATTTAACATCTGCTTCCAGGAAGAATAAACGAGTTAATTTGGACTAACTCTCCTGCAGATGACAGTTAGAAAAACTGGACAAACTATATAAAACATCTGTGTAAAGCATTAGCAAGGTAAGAAGACAACAAGAAATCATAGGTCATGATTCTGGGAAAAAACAAGAACTCGGAGAAGTAAGACCAGCATTTGAAGCTATGTTTCAACTAGGGCATTTGCAGCTTCTGGAGGTGGCACTGAGAGTCTGAGAAGCCTCCTGGAAGTGGGGAGCAAGGCCCACCACGAAGTTGCCCCTTACTAAACCTCCTCCCTTTGGAAGGGGCTCCCAAAGGGCAGCACCATGGGAATAAGAGTGAATCAGGAGGAAACATGCATTTCCAGATGCCGGAGCTCAGCTTCATGCCTTCTCAAGCCCTGAGATTGGGCTGAGGTGGCCCCAGGTTTTCAGTGCTCCCAAACACCCAACAGAAGCAAACAAATCCACTCTGAAGGAAGGTAACATCACCCCAGTCTTTAAATCATTTCTACAAATCATTTCACAAATACATCATCTGAAACACATTAAAAAAGAATATGGCACATAGGAGACAAGACAACATAAATGAAAACCAATAGGAGAAACAGAAACTCAAGCATCCCTTTCCTTGGCGAAGGTGGGAGCTGAGGGCTCCTCTGCCCTGGTGTCACGGTCTGAGAATTAGCCCAGACCGCAGTGCCAAGGTCTTAGCATCCTGTTGATCTTTTTGTACATCTGGGGCAGCTAGAGGGCCACTTGTGTGCTGTGGCCAAGCAGAAGGAGAGTTCTGACTGAATATCCCCTCTCTTCATTCTCCACCTGCCTGCACCAGAGGCACTGGCTTCCCCCTGAGACTCTTCGCAGAGCCTGGAGTCCTGCTCTGTCAGTTCTTCCTTATAGGAAGCTTAAATCTCTCCTCAGACTTCTAAGTGGTCCCCAAACTGGGATTTATTCTGGACCAGTAAAAAAAACTTGTTGGCAAAAAAAATCTAAGTTTCAACCATTTCCTGTACCGAAGATAGCGAGATTTAGCGGGAGCCACCTAGGTATGACTTTTTGAACGTTTACAAAATGTTGACTCTTGATGATGGAAGAGACTTTTATTTAAAAAACATAATTATATTTTTAATTATATTTTTAAAAACCTAAATTGACCCAATTCATTTTCAAAATAAGAGTTGATCCATGTTTTCAGTTTATTGCCTTACACAAAACATTTTATAAAATAATATGGTAGACTTCCACTTCAACATCTTCATGTAAAGCTACACAGTGCAAGAAAGTGATCACTACTAAGTATTAAGACATCTAAAGCCAACCAGTATTTTAAGTATAGGGTAGAATATTTTTGCAATTCTTCCTAAAAAATGTTGGCACGTTCATTAAATGCCCAGGTTATAAAAATCACTTAGTATCCACTTCTTATCCTTTAGCATATATTTTTATCTACATGGCATCACATTAAATGCTGGTGGACAAAATAGTTTAAGAATCTAAAAACTAAAAACTTTTCAGGTAGCACAATGATTTAAAACCAACCAGCAGACTGCTACCCTCCAAATATTTTTATTATGTAATTTTCTGTCCATTATCACAATAACAAGGTAAAAAAGCAGTTATACCTTAAAAAGAAGCTAAAGGAAAATATTTCACTTTTCGTTTCAAAATACCATTTCTTAGCTCTTAAAGAGGAAAAACTTTACTTTCTTTGCAGGGGGAAGAGTGTAAAAACATCAACTTTATGTCAGTTGTACAAATGTCTCATTTGGGAAAGAAAGTGAATACTTAGATTCAAAGGATTCTAAAATACTTCATCATTATAAGAAAAGTGTAATTTAAAGCTAAGAAATCATAATATATTTAACCAATATAAGTCATGTAATAGCATATCCTATTGTTTTTCACAAAATCCATATTAAGGAACAATAGGTTAAAGATTTCTTTTTCCAGCATTTGGTCAAATTAGCTAAGCAGCCCTGGGCGAACCACACACTCTGAGTCTCAGGATTGTCATCTCTCACACGAGGAGCCTGGACTAACTGCCCTTTAACATCCCTTCCAATTTACAAATGTATACAGAATTGTTAAGCTGACGTAATCCTTTTGAGAATGAGGTGTTTCAACTCAATGTATTTTCGAGATAAACAAAGTTCCCCATTTAAGTAGTAAAGCAGTTCTTTAAACATTTAAAATCTTACTTTAAAATTTATTTTCAATGTATCTCCCTGTCACCTTAAAAGAAGATGAGGTATGACTAACATAGTCTCCTAACTCCACGGTCTTCCAGTCTTGGTGGCTGACAGAGTGACTGGCACCTACAGCTTGGGCCCTGACTCCAATTCTGTGCGACTCTGGGCCACATTCTGAATCTCAAAATGAGTATGATAACGACCTGCTCCATATCTCTCTGTTTTAAAGCCCAACGGAGTTATCGTAATACACCAAAGTATTTGTAAACTACAAATTACCATACGAATGCAAAGGATTGTTGTGATAAGCCCAGGTTGATTTTTTCCTGATAACAAAGTCTAGGCATTTTTTATAAGATGTTAAGTTCTTTGTCGACACTTGTGCATTTGTTCTGATCCTTCGGTTACCTGACTATTCTCCCGTTGTCAATTTGTCTCCTGCTTCTAATTGCACCAGGTCTGAGATTCAGTTTGTATCTCCTAGAGTCTAGAGTCTGACCTTTCAATAGGTGAAAACCAAAACCGAAAGATGTTACTTTAGCAAATGTGGTATCATTGTTACTCACTTTAAACGAGTGGTTTCCTAAATTGGCGAGGCATCAGACTCACCTGGGAAGCGTTTTAAAAAGTGAGATTCCTGGGATCCAGCCACAGAGAGTCTGATTCTGTATGTCTGGAGTAGCACCCAGAAAAACTCTTGTTTCTCAAAAGCTCCCCCAGATAATCCTATCAATCAAGGTTTTGGGACTCACTGCTTTGCCCTCAATTTCCTCTCTAGAATTTTAGCAGTGCTAGTTTGTTTTTAGTATAAAAATTTCCCCTTGCATTAATCACAAGTATATTCAAAGTAGATTGCCCAGGATCTTGGCTTAGCTCCATAGGGAACCAGTCGCTACAATTTTTTGCAATAATATTAAAAAATGATAAATTAACTTCAGAGTGAAGAGAATGCATGTAGATGCTGAAAAGTGGCTGGTTCTACACTTACAGGACAACTGCTTTCTGCTTTACTTGTAGTTAGTCACTAGTAAATCTGAAGATCATCTTATTAGCTGTCATTACTAAAGGATGGCAGAACTCCTCCAAAAAACAGAAAGATGGCTAACTAGCTAATCAGTATCGTTAAGAAAACGTTTCCAGCAGACATAAATGCAAAGTATTTAAAAAAAAAACACACAGCTTCCCTTAGAAACCCAAAAACGTCCACGCTTCTGAAGTCTACCGTAAAGAGGAAAGTTGACCAAAACTACGGTTACTTAAAAATACATTCACTTAACTGTGAAAATGTAAGTGTAAAATAGGTACAATTTCATCCTTTAGGTGGTTTAACAGGCATAAATGGAATTCACTATCCATTTATTCTACCCAAATAGTTAATTGTGAAAACGACACGTGAAGTATTTGGTATAAGGTAGTTCTGACACCATCTCTTCCAAATTTAATACAAAAGCCACGTTTGGATCTTTCAGGTGTCCCAGTATATCTAGGCACTACGGAATGTCGTCATGTCTTTTGGTTCTCTGCTGGGCACACACCAGTCGTCAGCCTCATGGTTGGTGTTGTAATGCTTCCAGGCAGCTTTGTTATACACGGGGAGTCTTTCTATTGAGTCTGTTGACAGAGCCTGAAAGAAAAAGCAGGACCTAAGTCTGGCATTTTTTTACATTCTGTTATTGGAGAATACATACAATGGCAAAAAGATACTACAAATTAATACTTTATTGGATTTGTATTTTATTAATTATAACACCATCTACATACATTTTAAGATTGTGTACATATTTGAAACACTTTATTTACTAAGTCCATGGCACTGCCTGGTGTGCGTGTTGACTGCGTTTCTCGCTTGCAGTAATTCTGCAGCCAGCCTGCAAGCTGCTGGATTGAAATTTTACACAGGTGTAATAGACACCTCTTATAAAACACGACCCAGAAGTTCATTAACTGAAAAAGTCAGTTAAGTGTAAAAGCGTAAGAAGTGACACACGAACCTTAATATATGTAATTGCACAATCATTTAATGAAATCTATTTTAATTATTCATTGAAGAAATACTTTTTTTCAGTACAGTCACTGTACTTTAAAAAAGTCATCATAACGCTATTATGATCAATACATATAAAACTATGTCCAAGGCATCTTGACTTTTGCTGGAACAATTCTTGGCCCCGGATTTGAGCCGCGTCTTCTCCTGCCGTTAGAGCCACCTGTTTCAGTGAGCACATATGTGATTTCTGCATCATGCATCATTCCATGTTCCCAACATATCATCACCATTCATTCACTGATCTGTTTCAGCTTCCTGAAAATCACCGGAATCTGAGATAAACTACGTTCCCCATTATCTTCTCCAAGTTAGGATATTTCAGCAGGATTTCAACCTTAAGCCACAGGCATTTCCCAAGATGTACAAAATATTGAACTGGAAATTTCATTCCAATAATGGTAAGGAAGGTCTTTGATGTTGATGATTTTAATGATACTTTAAGACTTTCCATCTTCTATTTTTTCCAAAATGGAACTAAAAACCTTTCACTTACATATTCTCTTTAAATATGTCAGAACTACCAGAACCCCTTGATCTATTGGCTAGATCAAAAATGTTAACATTTGGTGATAAAAATATTGCCTTCATGTTGCCCTTTTTAAGTTCCTCAAAATTGAGATGGTTAAAAAAAAAGAACTATTATCTTGAAAGAATTTAACTTTTTCAGACAAATTTATTTTTTCCAATATAAAATCTTCAGCATTTCCTATAAAATAGGTGCCATCTAGAGGACAGAACAAGAAACTAGAATCAGTAAATAAATAGGTACCAACAGCCCACCGTTTAACCAATCCAGTGGATTGATAGGGCCCAGTGCTTTCCATCCCTGCAAAATACACTGATCTCTGCATAAACACTTGGAACGTCCCAGGCCAGTAGACTAAGTGCTTCTGCTCCCACCAGGTGAGCTATATGCATACAAAGAGTCACCCGTGCTTGTTCCCAAATCTGTTTATGTTCTTACATCTGTAATTGTAATTACAAAATTTAATCAAGTATGGCTTAAATAAAGCACAAAAAAAGGGGGGAGGGTTTTTTGAAAACTAAGATAAATGCTTTAGCAAGACTCACGAAGGAAGGTCACAAAAATTGCCGTCAAATCAGAGTCAGAAGACATCTGTAAAGGACCGTATAAAATTCAAAAAGGATTATGCACTTGGTTGTTTCTTTGTTTACAGAAACCAAAACAATGCATTGTAAGTATAGCTTCTGCAAGAAAGACAACTGAAACTTCAATCTGCAGACCCAAATACAAAGAAAAGGCCGTGGCAGTACATCAAAAGATTGGTAGGTCAATGTCCATTCATGTGTTTTATGTTAAAATTAAATTTGTAAGATATATAACTTTTGATGATGCCCCACTTCAACCCAATTTTTTTTCTATTAACAACCACAGTCCTGATCATTACAGATAAGAGTGATTCTTTTCCCATAGTCAAGGAGATTATTTGTCAAAATAGATGAGATCCTATGTAAAAAACCATATCCTTACATTTTAATAGCATGAGGTAGAGGAAAATGTCATTAAATACTGGCATCTTATAATCAAAAGAGGTATCATTAAATCAAGAAGTCTATAGTTATTACCTTAATGTAGATCACTGCATCTGTTCCATAACCCTCTAGGGAATACAGCTTTAGGTCTCCTTGGAAGTATTGTGCATAAAGTCGTGATATGGGCAATCCATAACCAAAACCAGCCTGTTCAATGAGAAAAATGATTCTATTCAGAGAGCCACACACTGAAATACTTTTCTAATTCAAATAAATGCTCCTGAGGATCCCAGGGGTCAGAGCCTGCCTCTAAGAGATCCAGTAATAGCCAAGTATTAGTAACAACCAAGCTGAAGCCGAGTTGAGTACTACGTTAGATGACTCCTCTAGCAGGGTCATTTAAAACTCCCCATTCTCCTTACCTCTATAAAATGACTTGTGGGGTTCTGGAAAAGGCAGTTCTTCAGCGGCCTCCTCTAGAGTATCCTGATACTCCTTTTGGCAATATCGTATAAAACATGTGCTCTCCTTTAGGAGCAAGAGTCGAAAAAGCCTTGTCGCAACCTAACAGATATACCTCATGACTTCCTATCATGAATTTCTAGCCTGTGTTCTGAACCTGGAGAGAGCCATAATAAGTCTACTTTCTTAATTCTCACTGACAGGTCAATTCCCTACTTAAAAATCTTCAAAGCATACCACACCACAACCGCATCCCCCACCATCCCCAACCCCTTGACTGCCTTGAGATAAAAATCCAAGCTTCTTAAAAGAGCTTTCAAGACCCGATAAGATCTTTGCCTCCCACTTTCCAGTCAGGCTGAATCAAATCTCCTGCTCTTAAGTTCCTCAAACATATCACGTTATTTTTCACTTCTGTGTCTTTGTTCATCCTGTTCCTAGCATCAAGAATGGCCTTCTTACCTGGATAAATCCTATCAGTTCTTTAATACAAAGCAAAACATTTGGATAAGTGTAAAAACAGTTTTCATCACCAAGTCAGATGTTCAATGACATTCCATATAACACTTTAGTTAAGAGCTTATATGGATTCAGGATTCAAGTGCTATTAACAAATCCAGGCTCTGGCTTTATTACCTCCACCATTTATTACCTGCCTTTTCTAACCAGAGTTTCTGTTTGCCCCTCCTAATCAACTATCCATTCTCCACATTTCTCCTGGCCCTGGGAGGCTGACCTGAAAGGATGATGTCAGTGGATTCCCGTGCCCTCTGCTTCCAGTGGGTCCGGCCAATGAGGAATCGAGTAGGAGTTCAGAGGGGGTCAGATCAGGGTATTCATTCCCCCGCGTCCTTCCCTTGGGCAGGCTGGGCCTCTTGAGAGTAAGCAGCTGCTCTGCAACTTTCCCTTTTTCTGGGTTCTGCTAACTTCTCCCTCTCCTTTTCCCTTTGATTCAGGGTAGGGACAGCTCTACTGCTGCTAACCCTGGATTCCTGCACTATCCCTACCCATATTTTTGTAATTTGTGACTTTGTAAATAAGCCTTCCTTAAATGATCGTAATTTGAGTGAGCTATCTCTTTGCTATTGGGACCCTGACTGACACATTAATTGGTTCTAGAAATGACCCCAAGAAAACTGCACATGCAGTCAGGATCCCATGGTGCCTGATCTGCTCTATCACTGCCTCTCCCTCAACCACATCTATGGACTCCTGGGGCTTCCCCTATAAATAAAGAGAAGAAAAACAGCATGGGCTGGGCCCACTGATGGACCTACACAGTGTGCCAGCACCAGCCAAAAGTGGATGTCCTTTCACTGTAATCTCTCTCAGGGGTGGGCCTCAAAGACAGGAGTGCAAGTAAATCCTCCCAGTGGGCAGAACTTAAAGTGGTACACCTACATGGACTCATGGGCAGTGGCAAACAGGTTGGCTGGCTAGTCAGGGACTTGGAAAGAACAAAATTGGATACTGATGAGAAGGAGATCTGGAAGAGAGGAGTGTGGATGCTCCTCTTTGAATGGGCTTACAGTGTGAAGATATCGCGTCCATGTAGATACCCACCAGACCACCAGAAGGCATCCACATGGAGGAAGCTCTCAGTAATCAGGTATACAAGTCACCACTCCGGTGGATGTCAAGCAGCCTTTCTCCGGCTGTCCTAGTGCTTACTGGGTCCACTTACAAAGTGGTCATGATACCAGGAAGGAGGCTCTGTGAGAGCTGAACAACTGTCTTACCCTCGGTAAGGCTGTGCAGATGTAGAGGGGAGACCGTGCCCTCCTGTTTCCTTAAAAATTCACATAAATTTTGCATCCTAAACAACAAACATCTATAGGGCATTTACTATATGCCAGGTACTATAAAAAGTATTTTTACATGTATTAACTCACCTAATCCTCACGATAACTTGATTTTTCAAGTTGGGGAAACTGTGGTATTAAAAGGTCAATAATTTTCCCAAAGCTCCACAGTGGAGTCAGGAATGGAGCCAGAAAGATTAGATTCCGAGTCTGGGCTAATATGCTGTGCCGCTCTCCACAAAAATGCTACAGTATTTGTTTACTACAAAAGTAGTTTATCCCTTCTCTCCCCTTCTTAGAGTAAAATCAGAATCTGAGAAGATGCTCATGTTTATTATTTGATCTTGTCTGCCCCTTGGCACATGGATGCCCACCCTGGGAGCCACATAGCTCAATTTGAGAAGCACATCACTGGAGCAATCATTTTAAAAGTTTGGTAAGCCATGAACTATATTACAGTTGTAGCTACAGAATGTGTGCTGTGTAACAGGTAAAACTATTAAAGTCCTTCCAGTAACTTCCTAGAAAGAGTCTAAAATAAATCCATCTTATCCTGTATTTCACCATGTTACAGCATAACTCCTGTGTATATGCCAGAGAAGTTTCAAAGCCTGGAAGAATAGTTCTTCCAGAATTACTGGTCAGAGATTTGGCAAAGCACTTTTCTGGGAGTTAGAGGACAAGGATGGAGTCAATTCAAAAGCTAATCTTATTAAACTTGAAAATAGGTGACTAATATCAATAAAAATTACCATCAAAACAACTATAATTTGAGCCATTTCCAGGTTGGTGATTAAACTGATCAGAACTCTAGTCTTATTTCTGAGTCTAGAATATGAGCTCTCTCTAATTACAAGTACTTGAGAAAAAAAAAATCAATACTGAAGATTAAATCAGTGCTGACCAAATACTAGTAAAACTGGTAATTTACTCTTCACACTAGAAACAGTGTAGCAAATGTGGCTTACCACATGAAAACCACTGACATGTCACTATCAAGCTTGGCAACGAGACTAAAACAATACTCTCTGTCTTGTGCTCTGGTCAATCAAAATAAAGGAGGAAAGCGTTTTTTTCTAATAGCTTCCCTTCTTCCTTGTGATGTACCCTACACAATGGCTTAAATGATTTATTTCTTGGCAGTTCACGAAAACACATTTCATTATCTCTCGGTCACATACCAGAGGCACCGCTCGGGACGTCTCCACTCGAGGCCGGGGTGCGGTTGAGTACATGTAGTTGAAGAGTCTGTCAATTTTCCTCAAAGGAACACCACCTCCTCGGTCACTCATCTAAGATGAGAAAGGATCCTGCCCTATGACCAAGTCTCATAAACAGCAAAATACCAATGCATACTCAGTGTCACAGTTGAACTGCTGGCTGGAGAGTGCAGCTTTTCAAAACGAATACCATGCAATCCAAGTTGGGAACGTAAACGTTTCCCTCACTGGCAGACTTAACACAACTCCTCTAATGTGCAGAATTCTAACACATAATAAACTCCCTTGTAATACAAAGTCAATGCTTGGCTCTGTATATTTACTGAAGTCACACTAAAGTGCAGTATAGCACAGAAATGGGGTATAAGCTAAGTCTATCTTGGATGTAACAATAAATTCTTGATTTCCTTTCTGGTGGGCAGTTTGGCAAACATATTAAAAATGCATGAACCCTTTGACCCAACAATGTTTATCCTAAGAAAATAATCAGAAAAGTATGCAAGGTATGTATGAGAATATCCATCACACCACTGCAGAGAACAGCTAAAACTAGATTACAACCTAAACAGGGGACTATTTAAGTGAATGAACATACATTCTAAAACAGAAGACTATTTAGCCATAAATATTATGTAGAACTGTATGTACTGGCATGAGAGATGTTCACAAAATATTGTTTAGTATCAAAAAGTTATAAAGAAGCATTTATAATATTCTAATTTTGTGAAAATTATACTATAAAAAAGTCTATAATGATATATAATTTTATTGTCTATGGGATTATGAGTGATTTTCTTCTTTTGGGTTTTTACTTTCTGAATTTTTTTCACAATTTCTTTTATTATGGAAAAAAACAGTATAATTTTCCTTTTCAAGGAAGAAAAAACAGAACCACTTCATTGTGTTGTAGTGTCTCATCTCCAAGCAATTTCACAGCATAGATGCCCAGATAACTTTCTGGCGAGTTTATAAAAAAAAAATAGGTCTTTATATTGTTCTTATTCTTTTCCTGACTCAAATCATATGATAGATTGAATTTAATAATTTATTTACAGATTGTCTTCATTTCGTTTTCCTTCACAGTTAACACAGATTTATCTTCCTAGCTACTGTGCAGTGTATATTCTAATCTGCCAGAGCCATTTTCCTTTGTTACAAAATCTAAATTGATTCTACTATCTACAATATTAAGATAGCTCTCACATACAAACATCCGCTTTTAACATATGTATATAGATATACAGATAGATAAAAACAGTACTGAATGATATGTATTAAAAAGTCAATAGGCTGGATGGCTTATAGTTGAGTTTTTATGTCATCTTTAAAAATCTTTACAGTACGTATATATATTACTTTCATAATGGAAATTACATAGCTATTTTAATTTTTAAAATAAAAATCTGCTTTGAAATATCATTTGAAGACTTGCCTCTGATATATCTATAATTAGATAATTGCAGTATAAAAATACACAAGGACTTTATTAAGAACTTGTATGTAGCATTATGCTTGAAATTGTTCTCGGCTATGAATTCAAAGCCCTATGAAGAGATTTATTTTAGTAAGATGAATAAAGAGCTCTGAGTATTTTCCGAGATCCATTAATTCCTTAACTTTTCATCCTTTAATGCTCTGCTTCAGATTTACTGGTAACATGAGTAAGACGTGTGGGTGTTCTGTCAATATTAAGTAAGTAAACAATATATTAGAATAGATATTAAGATAAAAAAAGTAGACCTTCAATAAATATTTCCTGGTTTTTCTTCACTTTTTGGCCAGAAAGACTATGGCAATCCAGCAGGTCTGAAACAAAAAGTGATTTCTAGCCGTAGGCTCATATGAGAAAAGCAGAGAACTGACAGAAAGGACAGAAGTGACTTTGTCAGAGGTGACAGGAATATAGTTAAAAACTGATAAAGATGACCTCCATTGCTTTGCAGCCAAAAACACAATAAACTAGAACTGGTAGATTTTTAAAGTGGTCAAAAGAGCTTCCAAGAGAGTTGTAACACATGCTATCATACCCGAGGATCTGAGTTCTTTGGGAAATGAGAGGGTGGGAATAATGGGAGAGACAGATGTTTGGTCTGTATATATTTAAGACAAGAAGAATGTACTCTGCTGACAAATATATTGAGAAAGAATGTCAAAATTAAACAAAAAGTCTCAGATTAAAATAATTTGGAGAAAAAATCTAGAATCATGGAACATAAGCCAATGCCAAGGAAAAGGAAAGATATTATGAAAGAGATGGGTGGTGGGGAGTAATGTCAACAGGAAGGCTGAGGAAGAGAAGATTGCCAATTATTTTTAAAGTTTTCCCTTCAGTACATGAAATCACCACTTCTCAATGTCATCTCACCAAGAGTTGCCATCCCTAACTTCCTGTTCCCCATCACACTGGGCTCCCTGGGCTAATTCATGTGAATTTCAGGTCCAAGGGAAATGAACCACTACTGACTTGATGACAGCTCTGAAGGCAGGAAATTTACTAACCCTGAACTCACCCAGAGCTCCTGAAGTCTCTTACTCAACAGCTTTTTCAATGTCAAGTTTGTAAAATCACCAAGAGTGAATGAACCAAGACATTTACAATTTAAAAGACATGTGACTATATCACTTATGTTATTTACTGAATTTAGACCAAACACAAAATCTGAAAGAGCAGCCAGAATTGTAAGACAGAAAAAAATAATTCTTTCACAAGATTTTCAGCAGAAGGATAAAAGGTGAAAAATGTCAATAATTTGAACTAAAAGAATGGGGTGGGGGGGAAGACCCCAGGCCTTGATCCTCAAAGTCTAGGGTAAGTGACAAGGATGAAAGCCCTACTGAAGTCAATTGGAGCCAGCGTTTAACGTGTAAAGAGATCACAAGAGTAGATGCGGTCACGACAGCCTGGATGTGAGGAGGAAGAGCGACAGGTGGAGGCAGAGCCCAGTGCAGGTAGGGCTTTCAGAGCGGCTTCTAGAACCGTCTGCTCAAGAGCCTAACAAGCTTTTCTTTCTTTTTCTTTTTTTTTTAACAGCTTTATTGAAATATAATTCACATACCATATAATTCACCCATGTAAAGTGTACAACTCAGTGATTTTTAATATATTCACAGATATGTGCAACCATCACCTAAAATATATTCACAGATATGTGCAACCATCATCTAAAATCATCACAATTTTAGAATATCTTCATTACTTTAAAAAGAAACCTGGGACTTTTTATTGATTACACTCCTAATCAACCGCTAATCTACTTCTTGTCCCTATATATTTGCCTATCCTGGATATTTCATATAAATCGAATCATACAATGTGGCCTTTTGTGATTGGTTTATTTCACTTAGCATAATGTTTTCAATGTTGTAGCACGTACCAATACTTCATTCCTTTTATGGCCAAATAATATTCCACTGTATGGATATATTACATTTTGTTGATCTATTCATCAGTTGATGGACATTTGGGCTGTTTCCAGTTTTTGGCTATTGTGAATAATGCTGCTATGAACATTCATGTTTAAGTTTTTGCTTGAATAGTTGTTCCTTTAGGGTACATACTTAGGAGTGGAATCGCTGGGTTGTTATGAACCTTTCTTTACACCAGACAGACAGACTCCCTAAGCAAAGCCTGGCCACCGGCACAGAATGAGTCTCTGCTGAGTGCCTAAGTGCTCAGTGAACCTTGATCCATGCAGTGATGGATGACCACAAGTAATGGAAAACAGCCGCAGATGAGCATGCTAAAGCACGTGACACAGAGGCAAAAAAAGGTAGAGGCAAGACGATGCTGCAGCACAACTGAAGTCATATGGGACTTATTTTGAATGAAGTAAACTTTAATGGGCAAGTAGCTGACACATAACTAACCAAAAAACAGACACACATTAGCATGATGGGCTAAAAAACAAGTGACGCATTCACATTACTTTTTCAGCAAACAGATGGTATTGCCATATATTTATTTATGCCTCACTCTTTTAAATGAACAGCCAAAAGAGATAAACGAAAAAAGAAATTCAGAGGAAACAGGCAGTGCAGAGAGCAGAGACATTAATTTTTAAAAAAACAACTATCATTACTACCCTGAGAGTGATAAAAGAAGATAAAACTAGAACAGAATACTGTAAAAAAGGAATAATAAATAATAAAAGTTCTTGGAAATTTTTAATAAGATAATGGAAATAAAAATTCAACAGAAGGACTGGGAATTTAAAGTCGAGGAAACCTCAGAGTAGAATAAACAGTTAAAGAGATAAAAAAGAGGAGGAGAAAAGATAAGAAAAATCAGAGGATCATTTCATGAAGCCCAGCATCCTTCAAATATGACTATCAGAACGAGAAAGAGCATGGAAGAAAGTATCAAAGAAACAGTGGAAATTCTAAACGGCCCAGCCCAGTGAGTACGAAAAGGCCCACACCAAGTCATGTCATTGTGAGATTTCAGAATAGAGCTGAAGAAAAGATCTTAAAAGCTTCAGTTAAAACAAAACAACAACAGCTGACACCTAAAACTGGTTGCATACAAAGGAATGGGAATTGGAATAAGCATAAGTCTCCTCAAAAGGAAGAGCAGGAGTTATGTCAGCAAAAAAAGGGGAGAAAGGAGCCCCCAAAAGTCTCTCCTCCATCACAGCACTGAGAAAAAGGCAAAAACTGTCAAAATCAACTTTGTTCAGAACTCTGGAAATTAACCAAAAGCTTGCAGCAATTTGGGGAGCATTTAGTCAAGAAAAACAACAGTGAGCTTTGTGGTGTTTTAACTTGGCTTATTCCCTCCCCCATCTCAACCCCATCAATAACATGCAATCGGAGTGAAAGCAGCAGCCCGGCAGCCGCTGGGAAGGCTATCTTTTTTTGATCTGATTCTGAGCTCCCCAATGCAAAAGTCTTGCACATACTGACTCCCCATCCTCGGAAAGATTTGTCAAAAACAATTAAGAGGTAATTGATTAATTTGAGGACTGCCTGTGGCAGTCCACAACAGTTAAGGCAAACAATAGGCTAACCAGAACGCTTAACAGGAAAAGCTGGGAAATGAGATGTCCATAAGGGCTTAGAAAAGCTCAGGGATATCCTGGGAATCCAGAAAGTTATGTTCACACCTAGGGCTATGTTCAAGTTCAGGAAAGACTTGAGAGGGTCCTACGCTTTCACCTCTGACTGACCTTGAGGCTCTGTACAAGCAGGACCTAAAGGTTAAGTAAGAGTTGTCAACTGCCTGGCAGACTGCCTAAGGCATGCCCCAATACACACACAGAGTCCTTTGATGAAGACTGGCAGGTGGCATTTAAGGAAATCTCAGTCCAATCATTAGTTGACAACCACTAAGCTAACTGAGCAGACACTTCAGTGGCCACATACAACAAAGAATATAGACTTTACAGAATTAGTTTTTAAAAAGTCACCAACAAACAATAACAAGCAACCTTGGGGAGGGGGGAAGTATCTGATCTTCAGAGTTGTCATATTATGTTATTTTAAATGTCTATTTTTCAACAAAAATTATAAGGCATGCAAAGAAACAAGAAAGTATGGCCCACAGACAGGGGAAAAAAGGAAACAGAGACTATACTTGAGGAAACTCTGACTTACCAAACAAAGACTGTACTATTTTAAATATGTTCAAAGAACTAAAGGAAACCACTTCTAAAGAACTAAAGGAAAGTATAAGGATGTCTCACCACATAGAGAATAGCAATTAAAAAAAAGGATAGAAATTATATAAGAAAACCAAATAGAAATTCTGGAGTTGAAAAGTATAATGGAAATAAAAAATTCACTGGTGGGGCCAGCCTGGTGGCGCAAGCAGTTAAGTGCACAGTGCTCCGCTGCGGCAGCCCGGGGCTCACCGGTTTGGATCCCAGGCATGCACCAATGCACTGTTTGTAGAGCCATGCTGTGGTGGCGTCCCATATAAAGCAGAAGAAGATGGGCACGGATGTTAGCTCAGGGCCAATCTTCCTCAGCAAAAAGAGGAGGATTGGCATCAGATGTTAGCTCAGTGCTGATCTTCCTCACAAAAAAAAAAAAATTCACTGGAATGGCTCAACAGCAGATTTGAACATGTGGAAGAAGAATCAGCAATCGTGAAGACAGGTCAACTGAAATTATCCAGTGTGAGAAACAGAAAGAAAAAAGAATGAAGAAAAATGAACAGAGCATCAGAGACCTGTGGGATTTCATCAAGTGTACCAACATGCGCATACTGGGAATCCCAGAAGGAGAGAGAGATGGGGCAGAAAGAATACTTGAAGAAATGATGGTTGAAAACGTCCCAATTTTGATGAAGAAGATGAAGCTCATCAAACTCCAAGTATAATAAACTCAAAGAGATCCAACCTGGACAGATCACAATCAAACTGTCAAAAGCCAAGAAGAAAGAATCTTGAAAGCAGCAAGAAAAGTGAGTCATCACATACAAAGGATCCTAATAAGATTACTAGCTGATTTCTTATCAGAAACCATGGAGGCCAAAAGGCAGTAGGATTAACATATTCAAAATGCTGAAAGAAAGACTATCAGTCAAGAATTCTCTATCCAGTAAAACGATCCTTCAAAAATGAAGGAGAAATTAAGAGAGTCTTAAATAAGCAAAAACTGAGAGAGTTCATCATTGGTAGACCTGCCCATCAAGAAATAATAAAAGAAATCTTTCAGCCTGAAATGAAAGAACACTAGCCAGTAAATCAAGTCCACATGAAAAAATAAAGAGCACTATGAAAAGTTAACTACATAAGTAAATATAAAGAATAGTCTAAGTGTGTTTTTTGTTTATAACTTTTTTCTTTTATTTAAAAGACAAGTGCATAGAGCAATAATTATAAATCTGTGTAGATGGGCATACAATGTATAAAGATGTATGATTTATGACAATAACAACACAAAAGATGGGGAAAGGAATGGACCTATATAGGAACAAAGTCTGTATATACTATTGAAATTAAATTGGTATTAATCTGAACTAGATTGTTATAAATAAAGATGTTAACTGTAATCCCAGGACAACCACTAAGAAAATAACTCAAAGAAATATAATAAGAGAAACAAGGAGGAGATTAAAATGGTACACTAGAAAATATCATTTTAACAGAAAAGGCATTAGCAATGGAGAAATAAAAAACCAAAAGAGACATAAGATATATAGAAAACAAATGGCAAAATGGCAAACATAAATCCTACATTAACAGCAATTATGTTAAATGTAACTGGCTTGAACACTCGAATTAAAAGTAGACATTGGCAGGATGGATTAAAAAAAACATGACCTAACCATATGCTATCTACAAGAAACACACTTTAGACTCAAAGATACAAACAGGTTGAAAATAAGAGCTTAGAAAAAGATACACCACAAAAACAGAAACCAAAAGAGACCTGGGATGGTTATATTAATATCAGACAAAATACACTTTCAGACAAAATTGTTATTAGAGACAAAAAAGGGCATTTTCAATGATAAAAGGTCAATACAGTCATGTGTTGCTTAACAATGGAGATATGTTCTGAGAAATACGTTCGTCATTGTGCAAACATCATCGTGTACTTACACAAACCTAGATGGCATAGCCTACTACACACCTAGGCTCTATGGCACTAATCTTATGGGACCACCATCATATATGCAGTCTGTTTTTGACCGAAACATCGTTATGTGGTGCTTGACTGTACATCAATAAGATATAAAACTATAAACATAGAAACACTTAACAATAGAACTCCAAAATACATGAAGCAAAAACTGACAGAATTGAAGGGATAAATAGACAATTCAAAAATAATAGTTGGAGACTTCAATAACCTACTTTGAATAATGGATATGACAACTATACAGATCAACAAGGGAACATTCTCCAGGAAAGACCATATGTTAGGCCATAAAACAAGTCTCAATAAGTGTAAAAGGATTGAAATCATACAGACTATATTTCTGATCACAAGGGAATGAAATTAGAAATCAATAACAGAAAAACATGTGGGGAATTAACAAATATATGCAAATTAAACAAGACAATCCTAAACAACCAATGGGTCAAAGAAGAAATCACAAGGGAAATTAGAAAATACTTTGAGATGAATGAAAATGAAAAAACAACATAAAAAACTTGTGGGATAAAGAGGAAGCAGTGCTTGGAGGGAAATTTATATTGTAAAATGTCTCAAATCAATAACCTAAACTTCCACTGAAGAAACTAAAAAAAAAAGCAAACTAACTCCAAAGCAAGCAAAAGGAAGGAAATAATCAAGATTAGAGTGGAAATTAATAAAGAATAGAAAAACAATGAAGAAAAATCAACAAAGCAAAAAAGTTGATTTTTTGAGATTACCGGTTTCCAAGGACTAGGGAAAGGAGGAAATGCGGAATGACTGCCAACAGGTATTGGGGTTTTTCTTGGGAGTGCTGAAAACGTTCTGAAATTAGACAATGGTATGGTTGCACAACTTTGTGAATATATTACAAATCACTGAATTATACACTTTTAAAAAGAGGAACAGTAGATGCCTTCAAAATTCTGCAGGATGATTATTTTCAATCTAGAACTCCATGTCTGAACTTAAATATTGGGAAAATGACAATCGAGGCTAGGTGGGGGAAAGGAAGTGCTGTAAGAGAGCCAACTCCTAAGCTACCATAACAGAAAGCTAGTGTTTGCTGTTTAAAACTTTATAATTTCAGAAATAGCAATTTAAGAATACTACTTAAAAATATAGCAATAAATCCCAGAAGAAATAACCAAAAGACTCCTCCTGAGTACCGATGCACAAATGGCCAAGAACTGACTTATCTGATTTGTATACTCTCTGCATTTATTACTTTAAAACAAAATTTAAAATGATTATTTAAAACAGAGAAATGTCATCATACTCTTAGAAATTGAGCCACCTGAACAAGGTAGTGGGAAAGATCTGGCATTGGGGTCAGAGGACCTGATTTCATGTCCCATGTCATTTATTCCCTATGTAATCATGAGCTAAGCATTGCGTCTTAGTCTCCTCATCTGTAAAATCAAGAATAAAATTACCTGTGCTCCTAACTAAAGAGCTATTATGAGAATCAAATGAAACAATTAAAAGTAGATTGAAAAGCATTGTTTAAAAATGAAAAATTATATACTATCTGTATAACACTGCAAATACTCAAATATTTTAGATTTTACTTATCACAGTGGATATTCATGATTACTGCTAAATTGTCTGTCTCCAGGATTTCCTTTAACTTGAATCATCTGGATTAGGGGCTGGACTAGAAACAGACTCAAGGGATAATTCCATAATCTGCCACATAAACGAAGCAATGTGCTTATGAGCTATCAGGGACAGGATTTCTTTCTCCTAAGAATAAATTATGTCTTCTGGAAATTATGTGCCTGCCTTACATCAATTAAAAAAAGAAAAGCATTTACCTTCACAGTCAAATCCTCATTACCCAGTGTGACATGGACTTGAATAGGTGGGTAGACACCTTTGTCAGTGTGATGTTCCATCGTTGCTCTCATTGCATTCTGAAATACATTAGGGTTATATCAAAAACACAGCTTTATAAAGAAAAACTAATTACAATTGTCAAGTACATATGTACTACTTGAAATTTTAAAAATTTTAATTCAATGGAAAAACGTCAAAGAATCATAATTCTCATAACCAGATTTAAAGAATTATTTTAAAAAAATTATTCAGTCAGTTTTGGAGGACTTGTGAGATATTTTGATTTAAAGAAGCCAATTAAATTCTACATATCTTCCAAAACCAGACGTCTCAACACTTTTAACTAGTTTATATTAGAGCAAAGAATTCTATCCAAATACTTTTATAATTTAGTAGATAACAGGCAAACCTTATTTTTGAAAACAGTTTCATCTCTATTTTTAAGAACCATTTTAATTGTCATAACTTGCTTTAAGAAAAATTTTTTTTTTCATATAATATTAACAGCAATGGTCTTATTATGCTATAGAAACTAATCCAATTTACCACTAGTTTGAAAGTAAGGATATTTACATTGTAAAACTGTTTTGCTCAATTTCTAAAGGATAGAGGGTACACAATGTCAACATATCATAAGCACTAAACAATAACATGACATGTAGCATTGGAGTAGAAATTGATAAGACGAGATACAGTTAAAAAGGCAAAAGACAGGTCTGAATTTGGACATAAGAGCGTGTGGCCCCAGCACACCAATCAGGATTGAGTATCCCTAAGAAAGAGATTCTATCATCTCTACCAAGTCCATTTAAGATTAGGTTCCAGATGGAAGCCATTATTATTGACACTATGTAAAATCTGTTCTATAATGTAATATTTCTTTTATTAACCATCATGGGGAACAAGATCTTTATGTAACTGAAATTTCAAGGAAAAAATGAGTTTTAATTCCTTTAAGTGCCAATTGCTTATTTATTTAATCACTTTCACAGAAAGATTTTTGTAAGGTATTAATTAGACAGTTCTTGCAGCCTTAGAACAAAAGCCCATTCTTAAACCTTTGCTGTTCTAAGACAGTTTTTCCATGTTTCAGTGTATTTTTCTTTTTCAAGATCAGGCTGAAAGCCACCTCTTCTCTCTTCTAGTTTACTGCTGGCTGAACACATGGTCACTAACCTAAGAGAGACTAGAGGCTTGATTTAGGGTAGTCCTTTTCAGCCACAGGGACCCCTTCCACTCCTCATTATGCGCTTTCCTGTCTACCAGCCACTGTCATTGATGAGTTATTGGCAAAAAAAGTACTCTCAACATTACTAGCATAATTTTATTTAGTTTTCAAAATTTGTTGTAAAGAGCAAATATAATAGCAGAAGCCCTGTAAATCAATATAAATGACTTTCTCCCCCTAAAAAGCACATAACAGTGAGACTCTAGTCCTTTAAGGGTGGAAAGTTGAGAATCATTCTTCTAAATATTTTGTACTGTAAAAATACAACTTTATAGAGCATTTATAATGTGCTGCCATTGTACTGAACATCTAGTACGTTATTCCCAGTTTTCATAATAACCTAGACAAGATTATCCTCATTTTACAGAAGAGGAAACTGAGGCTCAGAGAGGTGGAGTGACTTGCCCAAGGTCACCCACAAATTAAGTGGCAGAACTTGAATTCAACGTCAGGTCTTTCTGATTCCAAAGTCTGAGCTTATCACTACAGTGAGGTGCCCATCACTGCTGACAAAAGGCTGATCTCCAGAATGTGACATGACACTGAACATGAAATGACATCTTTTAATGAAACTGAGGAAAACCCAGTAGGAAACTTTCAGAGCAGATTCCTAACCTCAGCAAAGGACGGATAAAGGTTATGTAACACTATTTTACAAACCTTGAAAAGTTCAAACACCATGTGATAGAGATGGGATGGTACATAAACCACTTGTATTGGCTGTCCTGGTGATTTTGCTACAGAGCAGAAGAGAAAAATATAAAAGTACAGAGAGATGTGCTTAAAGCATTTTTAAGAATAAACTGTGTAGTGATGAAAAGAAAACATTTACTACGGAGGATAGCAGTATTTGGGGGAGAACTGCCACACCAGTTCTTCACGGAATTAGTGTTTGAACCCCCTGTTCACGTAGACTCATAACTTGACTGTGACAACATGAGTCCTGTAGTCACTCTTGCAATTCTGCATAACAATCTAACCAACCCATCTTCTATTCTTCTCTAGGACAATGAGTCTTTTTAATGGACACTCAACCTTAAAGACAGAATTTTACTTTCCAAAAAGAAGTGTTAAAGTCTATAAATTCCATAGTCCAACTCACATAAACATACTCTATTTTAAAAGGCTATTTTTCAAATGTTTCACCCAGGTGAAATGTTTTCTGTTTTATTTCAGGCATTTCTATGGCTATAGATCTGAACAAAAAATTTAAGCTAGCATCAATCTATCAAAGGATACTAATTCTACATTCAAACATTTAATAGGAGCCAGTGGGGATGGAGGGCAGATAGTGTGTAAAACAGAACTGTTAGTAGAACAAAGGAGTAAGACTCACCATTAGAATTCTAGTTCAGCCAATAATTTGGACTCTCTTCTATATAAACTGACCCTTGGAAACATGGATGGGACATCTGGAAACTACCTATAGATCAGGTTCCCAAACCATCACTTGTGCATTGTGACTCTTATTTACTGAATGGTACCATTATGGACCAAAAGAGTTAATATGGCTTTAGAAAAACACCAAGCAATTCTATTTCCAAGTGAGTAACTTCTTCCACTGCTCTCCCACTATAAGGTCCAGAATACAGCCTACTAAAAGCCTATTTAATTTTACTCTCCTTAAAGGGTCATCTTAACTTAGGAAATGTTTTTCCCTCTACCAAAATACCCTACCTTTAGGAAAAACAGTGAGATTCATCAATCTCCTCCCAAGGCATTTAAACCTTTTTTGTCCAAAAGGCACTAGTCAGGGTGAAAAGAAGAACATCAGAGATAAACAGATTCTCAAATAGATGAGCATCTTTCTTTCTTCTTTTATACCTCCAGCCTTTTACTTCCTCAACAACAAAAAATTATTTACAACTCAGGAAGTGAAATCTTAAAGGGTAAATGTTACATTATTGAAGTGCATATAAAAGTCAAATGTAATTTTCTTGGCATCGTTTTTTCCTATGACTAACTAGAAAATGAAAAATAAGCAAAGAATCAATATTATCGATTAAAAATAAGGGAAATGGGAAAGAAAAAGCCAAAATGTCTTTCAGAAAGAATCCAACTAAATTATATATACACACACACACACATTTTTTAACGTGATTGCTTTCCCTCAGCTTTCATATCCAAGAAGTTGACGAAAAGTCCTTTTATAGTAACAAATCTAAATTCTTCTTATCATTCCTTCTCAGGTAATCATAAACTAATCATTGAGGAAAAGACATCAGGCTTACCATTCAGTTCTTCAAGTTCTAGTTCGGGAGAGTTAATATAATACAAATCACATAGACGCCTAGCATTTTCATAGCCATCTAGTGTGAATCAAAACAAAAAAAGCATTAAATAAATTTACTTTTGTTTCATGCATTAAGATGGCAATAGTATTGACAAATGAAATTTTAAAACTTTCTATAGAAGAAGATATACTTTAATAACCTTAGTTTGGGGAAGGTCTTTTTAAGTATGACCTGACAAAGCCTAATAGCCATGAAGGAAAAACGACAGATATGATTACAAAAGAATAAAAACATCTGTAGGAAAAAAGACACCACAAACAAAGTAAAAAGAAAAACAGCAAGCTGAAAAATAATTACAGTACATATAACAAAGATTTAGAGTTGGTAAGGGTTTAGGAAGTAGACTTCCTCATTCACTGTTCGATACCTTTTTGGAGGTATCAAAATTTTAAATGTATTTTAAATGTTTTTAATTCTAGGAACTGTGCCCTCAAAAATACTAGCAAAAGTCAGCACATATCCAATGATGTTCACTGCCGTATTGTTGGTAATAGAAAAAAAATAAAACAACCTAAATGTGCACCAATAGGAGGATAGATTAATACATTGTGATACATCCATACAGCCATTCGAAACCTGGCGTATATTCATATGTACTAAACATGGTACGATGTTTGTAAACTTGCAGAAAAATATGCATAGAGTACCCCATTTTCCAAAAACAACAATGTAAGACCAACAATTATGTATGTGTATGAGTATAGGTGGCATAAACAGAAAAAAGTGTGGAGAGATGCAAACCAAACTATTATGAAGTATGGCTCCTAGTATAAGGAATTAGAAAGGAGTGAGGAGGGACCTGAATTTTTTGAAGTGAAACAGATCCTCTCATAGTATCACCATACTTTGCCTAACAAAGCATTGTACCAGCAAAATATTCATTCTATACATAATGCACAATTACCATTATGAAGTTATTTTCAAATCCATGCATTTGCTCCTAACAGTTCATCTCATGATACAAATAGTTGTTTTAATAGCAAGAAGTAACACTCAACAATTTTAATTTTTGCATCCTTTCTGAAGGGAGGAATGTAAGTATTTACCTTTAATAACTTCAATTACATTGCAGTTCGGATTTATGCTTCCAATGTGTTTTCGATGAGATGGGCTTCCTTTGCCTTTCCCACCAAACAATAAAGCTATCAAGAAATAAAAAAATAAAAAACAAACAAAACAAGCTAAACTACCGAATGCCCTTTTCCAGACGTGAATACAGTTTCTCTAAATAGTACCAAATAGTAGAACAAATATTTTCCTTAAACATAAACATAGTATTTTACATTCGATAAAAATACCTTTGTATGGCAGACTATTTTCTTTTCTTAATATGCAAAAAAAGTAAAATTAAGTGTTTACTAAAGGGAAGTTTTTTAAATAAATTTAAAATATACCAACGCATTTTATTTAGCTGCTTCTCTTGACTTCTCGACACTTACAGTGCTGATTCAGCAACATTCGAATTGAAATGCGACTCATGTAGAAACGATCCAAAAAGTATTGAACATTCTGGCTGGTGACAGGATCCACCCCGAAGCTCTCCTTGTACTCAATCACACCCTGGGCCATCGTGGGAATAACGTCATTGTGTCGGTTCCTGATCCGTATCACGGTGTCTGTAAAGCTAAACAAACCTGTCTGTCAAAACAGCCAAATATTTTGACAAGTGAATTTAATACTAAAATCTAAGTTTAACTAAGTATAATAGGCAAGAAATTCCAAATTCAGTAAAAGGAGCATCAGTGCATGTTTTCCTACACTTTTTAAAATATATTTCAGACCATACAATATATTGAATCTACGAAGATGTAAGGATTTCCAAAATAAAACTTTCGAAATTTAATTACTTTCTTGGAACTCCTGAAAGTAAGGCTGCCAAAAAACACAATCCTAAAAACGTTAAAGGTCTTTTTTAACCATTATCAACTAAGATCATCTGAGCACTCAGTATGAGGATGTATTCCAGGGACATTCAGCATAAAAGAAGACAGAGCACTTGCTTCTAGGAACACATGCTCTGTAAGGAATGAAGATCAATGAGCCAAGAAAGTCTGTCTGTTTTGGAACTATTCCCTAGGGTTCAAAGGGAGAAAGAACCACTTAGAACAGAAAAGTAGAAAAGAATTCTAATTTCATCCATCCTACGAGTTTAAAAAATGGAAGAGGAAAAGTAGACTACTGTGTTAAAAGAAAAAATTTTCAAAGTATCCTGCCTTCTCATTTCTGTCATTTAGAAGACACTATTGCACGATTAAAGAACTAAATAAAAGAGGAAAGAAGTCCTAATTATGAAGTAATAAAATCCATCTTGTAACACACGCATCAGAATTTACACTTCCGAATGAGTGCTTTCCCATTCAAAGTCATCATCTTGAGTACTATTAACTTATTCCAATGATGCTCTCACCGCCCATAACATTTCTGGAATTCCTAGTTTGTAATTAGCTTCAAAATCAAACTGTGAATCCAAAATACAAACAACAACTCAAAAACAACAAAGAACTCATCATTTCTAGTCACCCCTTTATTTATTTCACCTCTCTCTCTTTCTATAAAACAAAAAACAGTATTATTCTGCTTGGCTGTTCACCTTATTTTCTAGATTCAGCTCTGAGTGACTAACCATTTTCAGAAGGTTCTACAGCATAACGTTTACTTTTAAGCAAGACTGCTTGGGTCCAAATCCTTGTCCCACCATTTGCTGGTTTTATGACCTTAATGCTACTTTAAGTTACCTAACCTCTTTTTGTGCACTAACAGCATTATCTCAACTGAGTTGTTTTAAAGATTAAATGACATCATTCGTGTAAAGTGTGCTCCATACTTATACAGAGAGTAAATTCCAACGTTATTTTCAGACCAAAATCATATTTAAAAAATGAAATGTTGCCATCATCTTTAAAGACAGTCAAAACAATGTGGAATAGACTCTGAGGACAACAAAAGAGGTGGTCTTTAAGTTCTGAGCAACACTCATTGGAATAAGCAGGTAACTGCCTGAGGGGACTACTGGGGTTTATCAATTCTGGTATGTTGGTTATTAAACTGGTCACATTACCTACATTATCTTACAGACCACAGGTCATAAACTGAGACCCACAGACATATTTTTACAGGCCCCTAGTATTTTTAAAAATTTTTAATTAGGTGCCAATCTTTCGAAATTGGGAGATTTCACATTAAAAATTTAGACTTGTGGCTTTTCTTTAAACACACAAAAAGATCAGATGATCTGGGTGCATACCTGCATGGCAATGATCAGCTGGCTGTAGAAGCACACACTCTCCAGGTTAAAAGTCCTCACCAGTCCCTTACCATCCAAGTGGCATTGAGGCCACATCTGGATTTCCACTGATCATCACACTTGAATGTGTCTATTCTTATAGTATGATTAAGAGGAACATGAAGCATTTCTTATACCCAGCCCAATTCAGTGATTTATGTTGCCTGCCTTACCTGTATGGGCTGCTATAGACAAATATACTATTAAATGACCTGGAGTAGTGGGAAACGAAGAGTTCATCAGTTTCCCTAAAGCAACCCAATAGCAGGTTTAGGCTTAATATATTTACATTTTTTTATATGATGTTTAAAGAGTATAAAAATTGCGTTCAGAATAGGGGCAAAACAGGGTACTTACTCATAAATAGTTTTAGCATCTTCAGCACTTTTGTCCTTAAAATCAAGAAGCTCTTGAAGACTCTGGATATACCTAAAATGCAAACCAACAGGGCAAATTTGTTCTTTTACACTTTTAAAGTTCAACATTGTAAGAATATTCAAAATATATTTTTAATATTTCCTAATTTTTAATTTAGAACGGTGCTAGAAATTATGGGTTTAGTAGGATTTTTACACCCATTCACATTTGAGCAAAGTCCTGGCACAAAGTAGTAGAAAGTGCACGTTTTCTCCTAAAAACATAGGTTAAATTTGATTTAAGAATTTTAAGGTTTCCTACTTCTTTTTCTTTAAGTTCTATACTCTAAAATAGTTTTTCAATTTCTTAAATTTACCCCGTACGTGACAGTATAAATACGGATTGTCATGAGAACTGAGTCTGTCACAGTAACTATGTGACCTGGAGCAAATGACTTAATTTGTCTTAGTCTCAGTAAAATGTGGAGGCCAGCCTACCTTTGTCTAACAGTCTAATTTAAACATTTGTACTTTAAAATCTTAATTTTAGAGGTTTATGTCTAATCAACAAATATTTGTTGAAAGCCTACAATTTACCACATAGTTCTTTTAAACAGAACTGAAGAAAAACAAGTCATGAAAATATAGGTTTTTAATTTATTTAATTCAAGGTAGCAAAACACCTGTTAAGGAAGGAGCAAAAAGAAGAAAGCCAAAAGACTTTCTCAAGGTTATGCCTTTCTCAAGGTCATACCACCAAGCATAACAGCAGTACAGGGCTAAAGCTAAAAACACCTCCCTGCCATTCAATGACCTTCAACAGTGTAAGGTCTGCTTTGGCTTGTCTGTGGGCACTTTACCTACTGCCAACTGCTCTAATTCAGTAGGCATTCAGGGCCAGTGAAAGTATTCTATTTTTTTCTGTGTGTGTGTGAGCAAGATCAGCCCTGTGCTAACATCTGCCAATCCTCCTCTTTTTTTTGCTGAGGAAGACTGGCCCTGGGCTAACATCTGTGCCCATCTTCCTCCACTTTATATGGGACGTCACCACAGCATGGCTTGCCAAGCGGTGCGTGGGTGCATGCCAGGATCTGAACCGGCGAACCCCGGGCCACCGCAGTGGAGCACAGGCACTTGACCGCTTGCGCCACCAGGCTGGCCCCGAAAGTATTCTAAAAATCCGTAAATCCATATGATGGTTTAGAAAGCTGTTCCTGGCAAGCAATGGACCTCTCTGCTTTCCAAAGCATTCCAAAGTCAAGTGATTCTGGTATCTGTTTTTCTTTAACCCTTACTTTTCTCTTCATTGAGAAGAGAAAAGAAAAACTATGCTCTTTATTCAAGAAATATTTGAATACCAACGATGTGTTGGCACAGATTTCAAAATGCAGCATACTCTATTTTTAATGAAGAATTAAAAAAAACAGGAATAATCTTCCACAGAAAATTATATGTTCTCCTTTATATTCCATCATAGTCTCTAAACAAATGCCTCTTCCTTACACCATGTTTATGACTGTTCCATACATGGACTAGATAGCATCTGATTATCATATATACTGCAGTCATACTGCTTTTGCTTATTTATTTTTATTTTTCGGTGAGGAAGATTGGCCCTAAGCTAACATCTGTTGCCAATCTTTCCTCTTTTTGCTTGAGGAAGATTGTCTCTGAGCTAACATCTGTGCCAATCTTCCTCTATTTTTGTATGTGGCACGCCGCCACAGCGTGGCTTGATGAGCGGTAGGTAGGTCCACGCCTGAGATCCGAACCACATACCCCAGGCCATAGAAGTGGAGCGCGCGAACTTAACCACTACGCCACCGGGCGGGCCCCTACTTTTACTTATTTTTTAAAATTGATGTTAGATCAGCTTTGCCTACAAAAGCAAAGTTAGGATCTCCGAGAATCATAATTGCGAAATGTCTTGCAGCTAAATTTTTTCCATTTAAGACTGAAATCTGGCTAACTCTTTTGCTTGAAATGTACAGTGCTTCAGAGAATAACACTTTTAAATGAATAACATTAACAAGAAAGGCTGTATATAGGTGGCCACATATGTACATATGTGTCCTCACCTTAATACCTCTACTGTCATTTTTTGGAAGAGAGATCCTAGTTTCTATATGATTCGAATAACTTCTAATTGTTCAAAAATGGTAGAATAAAGATTTTAATTTTTGTGATTTATAAAGATATATTTCAATGAAACAAATTCAGTTTATTAAAAAAATATATACACCCTTGAATACATTTCATCATTCTGACTACAGCATGGTGTAGTAGAAACAAACAAATCTGGCTTTTTTGGTTTTTTTTAAAGATTTTATTATTTATTTTTTCTCCCCAAAGCCCCAGTAGATAGTTGTATGTCATAGCTGCACATCCTTCTAGTTGCTGCATGTGGGACGCGGCCTCAGCATGGCCGGAGAAGCGGCGCGTCGGTGCGTGCCCGGGATCTGAACCTGGGCTGCCAGCAGCGGAGCGCGCACACTTAACCGCTAAGCCACGGGGCCGGCCCCAAATCTGGCTTTGAATCCCAGCTCCACTATGAGTGGTACTGCCTTAAGAAAGCACTTAGCCTGTAGGTGCCTCAGTTTCCTCATCTGTAAAATGGAGATAATAACACCTACCAGGTGTGGTTGTTGAAAGGATTAAAGGTAATGTATATAAATCCCTAGCCGTTAACAAATGGTAGATTTTTTTATTATATTGTAACATAACATCCCTGTAGATTTAATAGCACAAATCTTAAATTTAGTGTATTTCTGTGCCGTTTGGATTGGTTTTTTCAAAACCAAGGAGTGGTACAATCCAGGATTCAGAAGACAAGCCCAGACACACTCCAAAAAAGGAGGAATGCTGCTACTACCTTAAGATTCCACTGAAGAGTAAAAATATATGTGCTCAAACCTTGAGTCAGTCCACTGCTCCATTGAAATGGCAAACACAAGATGGGAACCTTACCAGCTTTGTACCAATTGAACTGAGGGAGTCCTGAGAAGATTATCTGGAAGAAGACTTATTTCTTTCATTATATTTGCCAATCTAACAGGCAACTCTTGCCGCAGAAACATAAATGAGGTCTTTTCACAAGCATTCACGGATCCTGAAACCAAACACGGTGGGAACAGCAGTTAAGTAGAAGACATGAGGCAGTAGAAGCCAAGAAGCAGGGAAAACACCGATGGAGTTATTTGGCAAGGGTGGTAGTTTCACCATAATGACAGGGCAAGGACAAGGAGGCAAGGGATGAGATAACCCAGCCGCCAGGGCTGTGAGGCATCCTGAACGACTTTCTAATTCCTGACATTCCAATCGCCTTGTACAGCAATGAAGATACTTTCCTGTCTCCATTACTTGCGTCCTTACTGTGATCTCCCGTCTTAGAACTAAGGTACCTTGAGCAAGTCGGAGCAAGGTGCAGCGTTTAACAGTAGGAGCTGCAAAAGCCTATCCTACCTCACCTGCTATCATTTAGAAAATCTGTCTCCTAACTCCGGGTTTTTAAGAAGTGAATACCTGTCTAAGAAACAGAGAAATCTTGACATGTGCGTGGGAACCACTGTACTAATTACCATAAGCAAAGAGTAAATGAAGAGGAGGGCTTTTAGGCCACAGGAAGGAAAAAATACCAATGCCTGTTCGCAACAATCTTCAAACTTCTCCCCCAGCAGCTCCTATTCAACTGATTCCTGGAAAGCGCCCTGCTCTTCCTCCACTCCTATATCAGGATGCTAAGCAGAACAGTTGTAGAATGTCCTCTGGCAAGCAGTTAAACTGCAATGCATTTTAAACTCACTAATTTAATTTCACTGTTTTAGCAAGAGACAACCTTAGCAAAAACTAGATTGTCAACAGCAGGAATTACAGTATTAAAGGAATATATTTTCTTGTGAAAGTTTAATGGCCTACTTGTGAACAAGGACAAATTCACGCCTTAACCACATTAAAGTCATTTTAAAGTAAAAACAAAAACCAAGGGCTTTGAGTCAAACCAATTTGACACTGTAAGCCACAATTTAAAGATAAAGTTGCCAGCCATGCTGGTATCTTTCAAGCACACTAGTGACCTGACAGCACTTACAATGCAGAAGATAACTTTTTCTACTCAAATTCAATGAGTTTATTAGGGTTTTCCCTTTCCCTCATCGCCCCCATATGAGAAGTCAAAGTTAAATGCCTAACTCTGCAATTCCTCGGCCATCTGTTGCATCCCTTCTAGAGAAAACCAGGAAGCACCCATCAGAAGAGGAAAGTGGATAGTCGCTTCTACAGGGGTGAAATGTGGCAAACCCCACAGCATCTTGTACTCCTGCACTTTACCTGTGCTCAAGCCTTATTTGCTAATGATGAAATGAATGTGCTGTTGGTGGGTACACTCTTAAGTGGCAAGAAAAACATTCTATGGAAAACCTGGGCCAGTTATAACCTGCTTCTCCGATCATCGCGCCAGTTTTATGCAATCATCATATGTAAAACTGAGCATTTATCTTATCTCTGCAGAATCAAAACAGGACTCCCCGAGATGTCCACACACTTGCCTCTCACGGGAGCTGGGCTCTTCGAAAGGGGCCTGGCAGCGAGCGCGGACCTGCACACGTGCGCTGAAAGGCGGGAGGTCATTCCACCCGCGGCCCTCCTGGTTTTTCAACAATATACAGTGAAAAGGCACACGCCCCGGGTTACTCACCCGGCCTGCCAGCGCCCGCACATGAGCTTAAGGATCTGTCCGCGAGGGAGGAAGGAAGCACCTAAGGCGCTGGGGTGGCGGGACGTTAAGGAGGAGGGGGGCCACGGAGAGGAGGGGGCCAGCGCCGGCCGGCCCGGCCGGGATCAGCGGCCGCGCACAAAGGCCCGAGGCCCGGGCCGCACTCACCGAAGTCCAGGAACTGCTTCATAGAGAGCGGGGACGGCGAGAAGCGCGCGTAGAAGTCCACTTGGCCCGGAATGCCGCGTTCGGGCGCCGGGCCCGAGCCCGAGTCCGAGGTGAGGCTGCGGCTGGCGCCAGGGCGGGCGGCGCGCAGCCCGG